CCTACACCTGGCTTTTGGTTACCCTAGGATCATGGTTAATCCCATGTCTCTTAATACCACTTAAAATGTAACTTAAGTAGTGCTAAAGAGTTTGATATCATATATAGCAGCTTCTTTATAGTCATTTTTATAGTCATTTATGCCCACAGACTGGTTTTACTAGTAATGGTTATATATTTGTTGTAAGTCCTTTTGAATTGAGAAATACAGTGGCTTTTTTATAGTCTTATGTGACCTTGCAACATTTTGGTTCACCTAATGTTTATCAGCAATTAGTTAATTGGTAGTTTGTGCCTACATCGACACTAATGTTCTCAACTTATAAGAACTTATTTAATGGCTGCTATCTTTATTTGGAATAATTAGCATATCAAAGGAGTGTAGCATAATGATAGATTAGACTTGTATTTATTTTCATTTCGAAGGTAAAATGTCATTTTCCTATACCCTTTTGATATCTGCAAGGAGCCTCTCTTGAGAATATTTATATAAAGAAATCATTATGATCCAAGAAATATTGACTCTTTTGAATAGGTGTGTCCTCAGCTGGTACCACGGTTCACATTTGAGTGTTCTTTAGTAAAATCTTAAGTAGTCATAGACTTAAGGAACTACAAAGATAAATTGTCAAATCTTCCTAATTGAAAGCATTTTCTATTTAATTCCACCAGTTTGAACCTTAAAACCCAAATTATTTCTCCCATTACAAAAGCAAGCTCAGTGGTTAATTTTCATTCATTTACTCATTCTTTCCATCATTCTTGCATTTTTTCCAGCCAATTTGATGTACTGTGTTCCAGACACTAGGGATGCAAAAATGAACAGGAAAAGCTCCCAGACTCCAAGGGGCTCATCTATCGTGACTATTCACAAGAAACCACAGGAACCCCTTTCTGTTGTAGTCAAGTCAAAGCCACTGTTACATCCCAGCAGCTGAATATCGTGGCTATTATTGCCTCCCCATATATAAATATATGAGTGCCTCGACAGGCTTTTATAAACGTCGAAGGCAGTATTCTTTAGCTTTAGCAGATTCGGCATCTTTCCCTGCATTTTAGCCTGTGGCAGTTTCAGATGGCACAGATAGAAAGCCCTGAAAATGTATACTTGTACACTTAAAAATGTCCCTTACTACGTTATAACCATCCTCTGTTTTTCAAATGCTGCCATTAGTGGTTAAAATAATCATCTGTAATGTTAGCTTCTAAGAACCATGGTACAAGGACTTCTTTTCTAATTTCCCAAATGGGAGGGAACACATGTTCAAGCCTGTTAGAGCTGCAGAAACTGGAAACAGCACTGTGTATTTGTATTTTTGGAACTCTTTAGGCTTATTTAAGCACTCAAAATCAAACTTAGGTATCCATTAGGAATCAAATATCAATTCAGGGAAACCTCATGTACTACACTAAGAAGAATAAAACATATTACAGAAATTCATGAAACGAACTCCTGGAAACAACTAGATTTTTATTCAGACCAATGTTTCATGTACTTTTCGCAGGATGTCAGATGATAAATGTTGATGATGTAAGCCAGGGTCACTCCTTTTCTGTGGATTATTAAAGCATTTCTGTTCTTTCCTGAAATAATAGTGAGATAGATAGGGAATTACAATGTAGGAAAAGGAAATAATTATAAATTATCCATAGGTATATGGAATAAAGCTACTAGTTAAAAAAAAGATTTCAAGCTGGGTGCAGTGGCACACACTGGTAACCCCAGATCCTGGGGTGGCTGAGGCAAGAGGATTACAAGTTTGAAGCCAGCTTTTGTGATTTAGTGAGACCCTGTCTCAAAATTAAACCAAAAAAAAAAAAAAGAAGAAGAAGAAGAAAGAAAAGAAAAAGGGCGGGGGTGTGGTGCTGATGCTGGGGATATGCTGGGGATGTGGCTCATCCCCTGGCTTCAATCCCTGGTACCAAAGAAAAGGCGGGGGGGGGGGGCGGTCAGGGGGAGAGGAGGGGAGGGTGGATTTTAGTGGCCCCTGGATTTTTGAAGTGTGTTTTTACAGGGGTTGGCAATTTGTCACCATAGTCTTCAGCCTCGACCTTCCATAAGGAAACTTCTCCATTTTCTCCCTCAGTTTGGGGGGAAAAAAATGCCAAAACCAAATAAAAACCCAAAGTGGTGCTTCTTATGTAAGAAGGTATTACATATCTACATATAAAATTAAAATAGTGGTAGATGAAAAACTAGAGAAATAGTTATATAACCTCAGGGTTATTGACCACATTCAACTCTGTAAGAATCTAATAATTTTTTAATAGTTTTTTTTTAAGTTGTAGATGGACACAATTTTATTTATTCTTTTATGTGGTGCTGAGGATCGAACCCAGTGCCTCACATGTGCTAGGCAAGCGCTGTACCACTGAGCCACAACCTGAGTCCCCAAAATCTAATTTTTTGTAATGACAGAGAGCCCCCAAAGTAAAAAATCAAAAGCTAGACTGAGAAAGAGTATTTGTAATAGCTGTGTTTGCAAAGGGCTAATAAGCCTACTAAATAACAATAAAAGAACACATATATTAAAAACAGGTAATAAACTTGATGAGGAAATTTACAGAAGAAATTTCAGTGTCCAAGAAACATGTGAAAAGTTGTTCAGCCTCATTCTTGAATCTAAATTGTGATACCATTTTCCAGGTCTCAGATTTCCAATACTAAATCTAAATAATAATGGCCAGTGTTATCTAGTTTTCAAGATGAAGGAGATTAAACTCTCTCATACTGATACTGAAATTTATGGTGCCAAATGTGAATTCCTGCAAATTTTTCAGAAAATAATTGTTTTAGATTCTACTGAAATATAAAATGTTCATATAATCTTTAATCCAAAGAGCTCAGTTTTAGTTGTTGATTAAGAAATAGAAGGATACATACAAATACACACAGGAGTATTTACTGTAACGCTCTTAAGTGGCTAAGAATTGCAGACACCCTGAAAGTCTGAAATCCATGCCACAGAATGTCATGTGGCTATTTAGAAAGCAGTTGGTAGAACAATATGTACAATATAACTCCATTAGGGAAAACAAAACAGAAGGTTAAAGAGCTGTTTACATGTAAGTTTTTATGAGCACAGACAACTGACCTACACATGGTTAATACTGCTTACCTTGAAAAGTGGTGGGTGAGATGAGTGTGGAAGAACTTTTTCTTTATAAACTTATATATGGCTTGATTTGTTAAAACCAGCCTAATTTTTGTAACTGAAAAAATTTAAGAAGTTAAAAAATAAAGAATGGAAACTGAAGGAAAGGCAGCCAAAGAAGTAGGAAAAGACCAGAATATCATTTTTCAGAAGGAAAAAAATTAAAAAAAAAAAAGAGTCTCTAGAGGCAAGTGATCATCCATGCCAAATACTGTGTGGAATATCAAGTAAGAAAGGACAGAGGAACTCTGCTGTGTTTAGTGGGTACCCTTGGAAATCTCAAAATGGTAGAGTCATTGGGCTCTTCCCATGATGTAGTGGGCTCAGGCCTGAGGGGGTCAGGGAGCAAAGACAACTCATTCTAGGAGAAAGACAAGAGAATCTGGGGGACTTGAGAAAGTCCAGCATGCTGCCTTTTAAAAAGTTCTAGTTTTTAGGATGGGAGAGACTTTATGGTCCTTGTCCCTGTGTATACATGTCACACGTGTGTATCTTATGGGCACAGTAGGAGGCAGAGCAAGGAGACTGACCATGTCAGAGCTGAGTCAGGTGAGTGTGCTGACCAGCTTCCCAGGCTGCAAGGAAAGAAGGGCTGGGGTTTTAGACAGATGAAGGACATTGTGTCTGAAGTTCTCAATGTTTAGGGGCAGCCCATCTTAAAATCCAGGTTGGGACCCCCTGCCTGGTATACCTGCTGAACCTACCTGCCTGAGGACTGGTAAACTGATCCAGAAATACAGATCAGTTCTTTCTGATCCCTGTGGGTGGAAGGTAAACAATTCTATTAAATATTTAAAATTTTTATATTCGAATTGAGGTCTCTACCAAGTTATTAAGGGTTGCTAAAGCTCTGTATGCACAAATTAAAATCAACATACAGTTCAGTATCTTATTCAGAACCCTGGCAGCCACTTGGTGCTTGGCAGTAATCATAAAACCATGCATGTAGTTATAAGTTGCACAGCTCTGATTCAGGAGACTTCATCAGTACAACAGTGTTGGCTTAAATTGGTTATGATACTCAATTGCTGTTATTCTCCCTCTTTAATTAAAAATTATAGTAAGTTTAGCTTTATCATTATCGGTTTAGCTTGTGGTGGTCCAAGTGTGCATTGGCACATTGATCAATAATAAACATATTTGGATCAAAAATGTTTTGTCCTTTAAGATTCTTATAACTAGCCATTTAAAGATATGTGTCTTGGGCTGGAGATGTAGTTCATTGGTAAAGTACCTGCCTAGCATGAATAAGGCCCTGGATTGATCTTCAGCACCATAAAAAAAAAATAGAAAATATGTGTGTGTTTTGTGGTTCCCCTGTCAATCATCTATGGTCACTTTGCTGAAGTACATGTGTACCTAGCCCCCCTGCTGTTTGCTTTTATGGTGATAAACTTCAGGGTGATTCTTCCTGGGAATTTCTGCTATTTAAATAACTTACAAAATACTGTAAAGGTAGAAATAATAAGATTACTGGGTATTGTAACCTTTTGTTCATGTTTTAGGCTATAAAGCATGTTTATAGCAATATGTTTACTACAATTTGTTAATTATGGTTTTTTGCCAATTCTTTGTTAATGCCGGATTTGCTCCTCTCCTCTACCTGGAATGTGGGAATGAGTGAAATAGGTGGGGGTCTTTTGCCTCTCCAATGGTGGCAGGCTTTGGGCAGAAAGTTTGAGAGCCATCACTCCAAAAAAGTTATGAGGTATGTGAGAAAGGATGTGCTGAGCTGCTCAGTTGGAATATGGGGAACTCACAACCACAGCTTCAGTGCCAGGGGACTGTGAGATGATATTCAGAGAGTAGGTGCTCATGGTGTTGTCTTTTTCACTTCCTATCTAAGGATGTAAATGAAGATCCTGGAGAAGATGTGGCCCTCCTTTCTGTCAGTTTTGAGGACGCTGAAGCCACCCAGGTGTATCCAAAGCTGTACTTGTCACCCCGAATTGAACAGTAAGTGTCAGGGTCATTAAAGTTATGTAGTCTGATGCTTCTATTTGCTAACCAATGTGTTTCACTCTCTTTTGCCACTTATGAGCTCTTAAAATTATTTCTCTTTATTAACCTTTGATTCCTTAAAGACTTGTTGCATTAGTTGTTTTGATTGAAGAGTATGCAACTGTAGTATTTTAATGAGTCTTATTGTATTCGTTGTATGAATATCGTGCCTACAGATACTTTAGAGAAAAGTAGGTAGAGTCCAAAATTGTGACTTCCTCCAAGTGTTCCTTAAAGTTCAAATAGTTGTAACCTAAAGAGGACTTCTAAACAATATCTGACTTGACTTTACATGTAATCATTAGAGTTATTTGTAAAATAAAACTAGTTGCTTTAAAAAATTAAGCAGTTCATTCAGAAATTAGTAAAGGTAGTATTAAAAGCAGATAGTTTTAAGTTGGGCATGGTGGTATATTTCTGTAACCCCAGCTACTTAGGAGGCTGAGGCAGGAGGATCACAAGTTCAAGGCCAATTTGGTGAGACACTGTCTCAAAATTAAAAAGGGCTGGGAATGTAGTTCAGTGCTAAGCACTTGCCTAGCATGCATGAGGTCCTGGGCTCCATTCTCATACAGAGGGGATAATGGAATAGATAGTTTTAAAAAGATGATTTTTGATTATTTCTTTTTAAAAAATAGCTGTATATAATTTTATCTAATATTCAACTACATGGTAGAAGTAGTTTGCTATCTCACTTGTGTTCTAACCAGTGACTTTACTCATCAGTATTGAGTTTTATAAGGACAGGCTTCACAATGTGCTTATTGTTGGCTAAATGCTTTAGAAGCTTATTCTACTTCAAAGGAAGCTGAGGTTCATTGAAAATGGATTATAAGCAGATTTGGTTGGGAACTTCTGACGGGACAGATTTTTCATCAGCAAAGAGAGTTTTTATAGACTCTGACTGAAATGTATTATTAAAGTTCTCTGTAAGTCATTTAGTCAGGGTTGACTGATTTCTGTCTGTGAGTAGATGTGGTCACCATCCAACATTCATATACTGAACCATTTCCACCCGCTCTGACCTTAGCTGCTCTAAGTTATGACTCATGGATATCCCATCTTACTAATATGATATGGCTGCTTATGCTGAAATGTGGGAGATTATAAAGATCAATAATCTACAGGCACGATCTCATTCATTTATATATCTCACAGCATCAAAACAGGATTTTAAAGTAGCAGTGCTTAATGATTGTTTGGTTTTGAATTGAAAATACTGACCCATGTTAGTAAGAAGCTATGTACGGGCTGCCGGAGGCAGTGCAGTAAAGTGGGACAAGGTAAGGCGTCTGGAGTAGGCAGATCTGGTTTAAACCCAGGTTCTGCCACTCACCAGCTAGCTAAGTATTCAACATCTCTGAGCTTGTTTCCTCCATCATAAAATAGGGATAATAATACCTATTTCATAATGTTGTTTTGAGGATTATATTAAATACTGTTCATAAGGCATTAACTGCAATACCTGGCAGTCTAGCAAACACTGAGCAAATAGTAGCTATTAGTGTTGTTATTATTACTGATACAGTTCATAGCAGGAGAATAAGTGAGTGAGTATTTGTCAGAGACAAGCTGGGGCAGAAAAGGAGAAGATTGGTAAACAAGTGAGCAAATACTAGTTCTCCAGGAACCTCTCAGTATGTTCTTTTTTTGGGGGGTGGGGGTACCGAGGATGAACTCGGGGACACTCACTCATCTACTGAGCCACATCCCAGGCCACTTTTGTATTTCGTTTAGAGACAGGGTCTCACTGAGTTGTTTAGCACCTCACCTTTGCTGAAGCTGGCTTTCAACTCGTGATCCTCCTGTCTCAGCTTCCTGAACTGCTGGGATTACAGGTGTGCACCAAGCACCCAGCCTCATTAATGAGTTAAATTAAGAGGATGTTTTGGTGGTGAGAAAAGAAAGTTAATGAAACAATCTCAAGATGCAGGGGAAATGAACAGATTCATTAATTAGTCCGCAGGCAAGAAATTTCCAACCCAGAAAAACATTTTTGCCAACAGCCAGATTATTTTTCTTCGAAGATACTATACCTCATTTGCCAATAAACCCGATAATAAAATATTCTTACTCTAAAAATATTTAGATACAATGAAATAAATTAGTAAGAAAGGACATATTATAAAAGTCATTTTTCTTATTTTTAAAATCTACCTTTCTATATGTTCTCCCTCTTTTTTATGTTAAGAAATGGCTTCAGCATATCTTTCCAGATCAATTGTCTGTTACTTCCCCTCAAAAAGACTGTCCTTTTTAGCCGGGCTCATTTGAAGTTTTCTAGTTCTCTTCTACTCTCTTGCCTCTGTGCCTTCTGCTAAAGCTGTTTCTTCCATGTACCAGGTCCTTCTCTAACCTACTCTTCTTATTGAAATATACATTTTCTAATCCTTATTCAAATGCTGTCTCTACGAACCATTTTCCCTGAGCACAATTAATCTAGCCTTCCCTGGAGCCCTTTGTAACACTGAATTTATATTAATCTTATAATCTACCCACATTGCTTTAGTTTGTGACATACATTTTTAAAATCTTTTGCTAAACTACAAACTAGTACTAGAGTATGGAATGAGTCTTGTCCGTCCTTTAATGCCTTCCATAACTGTGGTGCATGGTAACAATGGCCTCATTGGCAGCCTTATAGGTTTCTAAGTATTTCTCACACACAAAAAATTAGAAAGTGCTGAACTGAAAGGAAAGGTCTTAAACTTTTCCTGGTTTGACACAACTTTAATTGGTATAACTGTACTTGTAATATCAAAGTAAACAACCCAAAGTTCTTAGTATCCTTAAATAAAGGTTTTCAAAATGAGATTTTTAGAGAAGGGGTAAAATAGAAAGTAGTAAACTTAGGGTACAACTTTGTAAGGGCTTACATATTTGCTAAAGTTATTGTAGCAGTTTCCCCTTATCTGCAGTTTCACTTTCTGGGGTTTCAGTTACCTGTGGTCAACTATGATCTGAAAATATTAACTAGAAAGTTCTAGAAATGAACAACTTACAAGTTTTAACTTGTACAACACTCTCAGTAGCATAATGAAATTTTGTGCCATACTGCTCAGTTCTGTTCAGTTCTGTATGTGAATCATTCCTTTGTCCAGCGTTTTTATGCAGTATATGCTACCTGCCTGTTAATCACTTAATAGCTATCTTGGTTACCAGATTGGCTATTATGATATCAGTGGGTGTGTTCAAGCAACCCTTATTTTAATTAGTAGTGGCCCCAAAGTATAAGAGTAGTAACACCAGCAATTCAGAGATGCCAAAAAGAAAAAAAGGTGAAAGTTCTCAAAAAAAAAGAAAAAAGAAAAAAAGAATTAAAAAGCTGTATGCTAAGATTGCTAAGATCTACAATTTAAAAAAAATCTATTTGTGAAATTGTGAAGAAGGAAAAGGAAATTTGTCATAGTTTGTCTGTTGTAACTCAAGCTATAAAAGTTGTGATCTGTCATGTTAATTCTTATTGTCTTATTAAACTTTATCACAAGTATGTATGCATAGGAAAAAGCATAGTACATTTAGGGTTTGGTACTGTCTGCAGTTTCAGGCATTCTACTGAGGGTCTTAGAACACATTCCCCATGGATAAAGGGGAAGGACTGTAATGCAGAGTCCAGAGCATAGAACAGAAGTAATGACATTTCAGGAAGGCCTTGGCCATGGGATAGGTTTTAAGAACTGAGTCAAGAGGGGTTGGTACCATCTTTGATAGTGTTAAGCTCTGTTCTGTTACCTGGGTCTCATACTATCTGGTCAACTCTCTGCTATCCAAGCATTAGTTGTAGACTCAGATGTGGAAGGTTCTTTTAGGAGTCATGGGAAACATGTCCCATGTGTACCTGCCCAAAGCTGATGCCCACCTCTTGCCTTCACTGAAGTTTGTGCTTCTTTTGACTTCTGCCATGGCTCTTTCTAGGAAGTCCCAAGCCCTGTGCAGCAGGAGGACCAGTAACCTAATCCACATTGGTAAAAATTATCAGGAGAAGGCTTGCGTTCCCATGTCACAGTGTCCAGGCAGAGACAGAGGTCTTGAACTGGGAGGAACGCTGTATCTGGTGTATCTATTAACGTCTTCTGGTGTATCTATGAACGTCTTCCCCAGCTTGTCTCTGCAGTGGGTAAGGACATTATACTCATATTAATTAGTGCCAGAAATTGGAAAAGAAAAAGACTTTGGTTCTTGTCATCACACATAAGAAAAAGGATCAATTTGTCATATCCTAAAGATTTCTAAAGACACGAACACCAAATGTCCCTACATTAGACAATCTCAAAGAAATGGAACATATGTTGGATCCATTGGTAAAAAAAATTCCCCAGTGTATTATGATTTGATGAAACTGAAATGCAGTCCCACTTCTGAAGTCTCTGTTCATCCAGGGTCTAGGAATAGCTGTCTGGTGCCCGTGGCAGCCCTGCTGAACATGGCTGCTGCCCATGTGTTGAGATACCTGTTGTTTTCCATTCTCCTACTGCACATGTGTATGGCTTGCGAAGTCAGTGGTTCTGAGAAGAACTTTGTGTTCTTCATGCACAAGGGACATTTATGAAATAAACATATTTCAGGCTTTATACATTTGTTTTTCAAGGAAACAAAATTATCCAGTTGAATTAGCCTCTGAGTTCTGTTCACTGAAAATAATAAATTGTGAGTTATGCAAAACAGAAAAGGAAGAAAGAGAGAAAGAAAATAAGGAGCTCTAGTAGTCAGTGATGCAAAGTAGATTTTGGTTGACTATTAGGAAAAAGAAAAATCTAGTTTCTAAAGCAGTTGCCTTTTCTTTTTCCTGGCAGAAAAGCTGTGGATTTAAAGGTTACGCCAGCAGAGCTGGCACTAAACATGCCCTACCTTTCCCTTGTTCCCAGACTGTTGGCAGTTCCCACAATGAACCCAAAGGTTAAATGGGCATCAGAGACTATGCAGTCCTCCCCTGCCTGCAAGGTGTGGGCCCTCTT